ATAAATGCCACAGTTTGAAACAAAATATTTCATTAGCAAGCAAAATATTTAACTTGTTGATCTAAACATTTAGCTAGCAAAGTAAACGTTTAGTTCCATAAATATTTAGAGGGCAAGCAAACGAAATATTAAGCTCTGAGCTAAATATTTATAGACATATTTTGAGCTAATTATTTAATTCTAAATATTTATATAGTTATAAATATTTATAATATTAATTGTACATATTAATATAAATTATAAATGTATATTTAAAAAAATTATAAATATTAATATTATCTAGCTTGGAGCTAGCTAAATATTTAGTTTACAAACCAAATATTTAGCAAGACGTATTTGCAAAACATTTATTTAGCAAGTTGAATATTTAGTTTACTGACTAAATTTCTAGCTTAGACACTAAAATCTTAAATAACTAACTAGTTAGCTCCAAGCTAAACATTTAGCTCTAAACTATCTAAATATGTAGTTTACAAATCAAACTTTAGTAATAGTTACATTACTAAAGTTTTAGGTAGCAAACAAAATATTTAGCTAAATATTTAAATTGAAGCTAAATATTTAGCTTGCTAACAAAATATTTAGTTTTCTCAGTAAGTATTTAGTCTCAAGCTTTCTGTCTTACAGTATTAACGATCTTGTGTCAAATAAAAGGCTGAACTGGACTGATAGATCTTCTGCAGCTGATCTGTTGCTACTGACCGATGGAGCGTCCAGTTGGGACCCAGAGCCGTCCAGAGCGCCGCCTCGTCCTCGTTCAGCGTGTCCTGCAGCAGCGACACGGCCGAGCTGGTCATGGCCGGGCTGGACACCGACGCTCCGAACGCCGGACCGCCCGTCGTTTTCACCATCTGAGGACAAGAACCAACCAGGACCAGCGAAACTATTAGTTAAACATCCAGCAGCCAATCAGAGGCAGACTCTGGCTGAAAACAGGAAGTAGAAAAACTCAACAGGTCTAGATTTTTTCTGCTGAGTAAAACCTGCTAATCTGAGCTTCCAACCAGAACCGGGTCGGTTCAGGAACCGGACCAGAACCCGGCTGCTTCCTCTGGGAACTGTAAACAGTAAAGCTGCTGGTTTCCAGTAAAGCTGCTGGTCTGCTGATATGCTCCAGTATTTAGAGATGAAACATGTTTCCAGGTGTTTTTCCACCTGCAGCCGCTCTTCTTCTCTGGTTTCTTAGAGAAGGACCTGAAGAACTTTCGAGTCCTCTGGACTTGATCGACTCTGAACATGTAAAGGACATTTACCATTTATCACATTTAGCTGTTTTATGCCGCATGTCTTTTAGTCCAGCTTCTGATTTAAATAAATAAGAAACTATAACAAGACATAATAATATGTCTTGTTTAAATATTATTTTAATAATACTACAATAATATTGTATTATTTAAATGTTGATTTAAATAAACATCTTCAGTAATATTACAGTTTTGAGAACTGAGGAGAAATTTTCCTATATTTTGCTGATTTAATCTTTCATATTTCCTTTAAAAACATTTTTATCTCCATGTTTCTTTGGAAACAAGAAAAATATGGAAATGATGGAAAAAATTAAGGATGATGACATCATCAGATTTTCTCTTCCATCCTTTCTTCATAGATTTTCTCTCAAATGTCTCCCTGCCTTCCAGTTTTCCTGCCTTCATGTTTTTCCTG